GTACACAGATTATTTTTCACACAGATCCTGGTTTATACGGATTTTTTAAGCTTGTAGAAGAAGTTTCCCGAATGAAAAGTTGAAAAGTACAATTTTATTGCTACTTGCTGCTCCGTGACGTCCTCCAACGTCATAGTTTTTTGCTTTTTTAAATCAAGTTCATATGTATTTAGAAACTGATATCTTTTAAACGGAGCGACATATTACATAACCTGATTTCATTTTAATTAATACAGCAATACTTTATTTAAACATGTAGATTCCATTTCGTTTCAGCTCCATTTATTAGAGGTATGGCTGTAAATACTATAAAGTGAAAATCAGTAAATTACTCAATTGTGACGGTGCTCCGTGACCCCATTTCTGCTGTTCTAAATCCTTGATAATTTTAATAAATATGAAGATACATTCCAATTTTTTTACTAAAATTATTTGAATCTGTTGTTAACATATTTGTACCAAATTTGGATATAATATAACGTTAAATAAAAAAGTTGGGACAAAAGTCTACGAACTTTTTGAATGACCCTCGTATATATTTGTTTTTATTGCTCCATATAATTCTTTTGACTACACCACTCTTTCGCTCCCCGATTATCAAGTCCCCATCACTGACAATGGACACAGCTCGTGGTCTTTGAAGTCCTTGTATTGGAATAATGTATCTCAAGAATCGCCCATCCATGTCCAACATATGGATCTTGTCTCCCACAGAGTCAGTTATGATATGTCCCACTGAATCAGTTATGAGTGAACAGGGAAAGAAATTTCTTTCTTTCCCTTTGTAAGAGAAACGAAATATTCCTAATTTGTTGACAGCAATGGCAGATTCTTTCTCGCAGTCGGTTACTATGATGTCTTCATTGACATTCTCGGCAATGTAGAACGCGTTTTCGTACAGAGGGTGATACTGCGAGTCATACTGTATTTCTTGGCGTACAGTGCTAGTGCTGCTATATCGCACGACTTTGGACTGAGGTTTCTTATAGAGACAGACCAGTTGGTCACTTGACAAAGTACTCGTGATTCCACATGGCTTCCATTCCCTGGTTTCAAACAGCATCACTTCAGCGTTGTCATTGGATATTTTTTTTTCAATCCATTTTTAGCAGAAAAGACCATTTGCATGTTGAACATAGTCAAGTGCAAGCCTGGTACTGGAATGTGGATTGTTTTATAATGGATTCCTTCGAGATCGAACAACTTGAGTTCTCCATTCGTTCCACCGACCCATACTCTGTTATTAGTTGTTAAAGCAATGTCATAGAGGCGCTCTTCAAATTCACATTCAGGAAACCCGCAGTCTATTGTGGCGATAACCTCTGGTGGCTTTAACCTTTTCTGACTCGGAAAATCGTCGTCCGTGTCTAACAATTCAGGGAGGGAAAGTTTTCTTTCTTGAATTTTGTCAATGTAACCAAAAAAGTTCTAAAATAGTTTTCTTCAATTTCACATTTATAAAAGACCGGAAATGACCTTTCCGCAACATGTAAAGACTTTTCATGCTTTTTCATCACCGATATGCATTTCTTCATTTCCCCAACATTCTTTGATTTTGTCAATTTCTTCGTTTTCATTTTCATAATATCCATCTCCGCCATCTCTTCCTCTAATTCTTGTTTCTGTGTTTGAAGTGCTAATTCATGCTCTACTGCATCTTATCTAGTTCCTGGTGGAGATTCTTCACTATTTCTTGAATACGATTTTGCCATTCTTCATCCCGTTCTGTCACTTCATTCTTCCTTCTCTGGTATATCTTCGGTAAAGAAGACAATCTTTGTGTTGTATGACGAAGGATTTCGTCCACCTCAAGCTTGAAAGACTGAAGACGCTTATTTTCATGCATGATAACTTTCAAGAGTTCTTGAATTTTTTTTCAGACAATTCAGATATTTCATGATGACTGTGCTTCGTTGAAATGCAAACCACACATGTTGGACATTCGCATGTTGCGCAGTAGGTATAACATTCCTGTTGTGGATGGGTATCACAAATACAAGACTCGTCATATCTACAGGCATACTCCACAAAATCGTGTCCATTTTTTGACTTAATGTGGAGATGAGTTATCACACATGGATCGCAAAGACTGACTCTGCATCGTTTGCAATAAAAGAAGGGGACTGGTCTATCTTTGCATTTTTCACATCCAAGGATATGATGGAATTGGCTCATTTCATTGGTCGTCATAATTCTTTAAGTATATAGCCTGTGGGGAAAAATGCTATAATTAATGTTATGTCTTTAATATAACATATTTAAAAATTACAGAAAGTTTCACAATGTGCATTATACAGGTCTTGTACAGTATAGGCTTTCCCTTTAAACCCACCCCATCCCCTTCCTCCAAGAAAACTGACTCTGGAGTAGGATCCCCCTTGGAAAGCAGGCTCTAGGTAAGGATTTCCCCCACAGAAAATTACTCTAGAGTAGAATTTTTCTTTATGGAAGTTCTACACCAGATTCAAATTTACGGGGGGGGGGGGGGTGTTAAATCCTACTCTGTAATTAAGCTTTCTCCCAGAACCAATTTAAACCCAAATAAAATGTCTTGGCCGTATTTGTGTATTAGTGGGAGAGAGGGCAACATATTATTACAAATGTCCTTTCTTCGAAGTGCTACCAGTTCCCTTTAGCATACAAAATATGAAAGTTAAACTTTCAAAACTTTAAAATCTCATTTTTCTCAGTAACTATCCAACCATTTCTGTTGAGGTATTAAAAAAAAAACTAGTACTCATTCTTTTGTCAGATGAAGTCAAATAACCTGATGAAAAAAATATGGGTACAATCATGAATGCAAATCGGTTGGACATTTTTTTTTATTGTATCGGATAACCTGAAAAATTGGATGTTTATCATTAATTGCTTATTGTGACTTTGTACTCCATCAATATAAAATAAAATCTGACAGATAAAAACTCACAGAACAGAGGAAATTGACATTTAAAAAGCTTGAAACGAGTTGGATTGGAAACGTAAAAATTCTTTAAAAACGAAAGAGAAGAAATGGTGACCTAATATCTACACATTCTGTTAAATAAATTAATATAGTAAGACTGTACAGAAAATTAATGTCAAAGAAAACTTACTGTCATTGACGGATAAATCGTTTCTAGGAAAAAAATAAATAATTTCATTTATAAATTCAGATATATTTTTAATGTTAACCAGTTTCAGAATAGCTGATGTTTACTTGATCTTCTAAAAATTTCTTTAGCTTTATTATATTAAGCAAGAAAAAAAGAAGAGTAATTGTTTGAAATTGCGTTTTTTAAGATTTAGTTGCAGGATTTAAAAAAATCTTATTAGGATAAGCATGGGGCTAACTGTTTTGGACAATCAGATAAATAATACAAGATATATAATAAATAACTAATGGACTACAAAATTTACCTCGGAAAAAATCTGCCCTCAGAATATTGCTTTAGCAGACCTGGAAAACAACCTTCTTATTCCTAATTCATACCCCTTTTGTCGGCCAAACCGGCAAGATATCACCTCAGAGGCCCTTATAAAAATAGCATTATTTCAAAGTTAAACATTGTTTAATTTCAACTTTTCTATAATGGACCAATTCATGAGTTTAAGATTTTTTCCAATGTAAAAAAATCATTTTTAATGCCAAAGCATTATTGTCTTCAGATATAACACAAAAAGCACAATTTCCCAACTGAACCCCCATTATTACTTTTCTTTCTAATTAATCGATGGTAAAGATTTAAAGTGCATTTTAAACCGATAGTTCACTAAGCAATGTATAACAACTTAAGAGATATCCAAGAAAGTCAAAACAGTTTTGAACATTTCTAGTTCTTTCTCTAACTTACATTTTCCTCTTTTTCAAGTAATCAGTTAAATTAAAAAAAAAACATTCGAATTAAAATTGCTGTATCATAAGTAACAATAAATCTGAGAATATTGCATTCATTTACACACGGTCTGCAAATTTCACCTTTACGCGAATATTGCACCTTATTGGGAGTTTAATTTAGGCGCAAGGGAACGGGGTAACAATTTTTGCTTCTGAGCTCAAATCAAGTTAGGTGCACATCATATTTTACATATGAGCAAATTAACTCCTGGTCTGTCTACAGAATTCTTTTTGTACCTTTAGCACGAGAAAGTATCCTTGATTGCTGCAAGATTGAAGAATTTTGCATAAAATATATCGTGAATTGAGAATCATTGACACTATATTTTTGAGACAAAATTACTTAAAATAATCTTTTACTTTTAAATAATTATTAATGTTATTTCCTGTGCACCTAACTGGATTGCATACCTTTGTTGTCAGCTTTTGGCGTTTTTTTTACTGCCCGATATCCTCGCTAGATTGTTCTGTTTTTGTTTTCTTTTTCTTTTTTTTAAACAGGACATGGATTTTACGGTCAGCTAATATCCCGAGGAAAACAAGAAACTTTTTACTCCCAGCCTGCAAACTGATTGGGGTCCGTCTAGCTGTCTGGCAATAACTTTGCAATATACCCAAGCAACATTAGAGACTACGTACTTCAACAGAATGCTTTAGGTCAAGTAATCAATCAATAAAGTAAAAATCATACCTACTAAATCGTCAGAAGTACAGATAACATAGAAATTTATCATAAATCATATTGATATAAAATCATCCTTAGTTAGTGTAAATTCTATATATTTTGTTTAAATTAAGACTCGATTCTGCATGGGGGTAGGTTGGGACCTATATACAGTCATAGAAAAAAAATACTGCTGTTGAAGAACAGCCATATTGACTCAGGTGTGTGTTGTGGCCCATGGGCCTTTTTTGAAGGTACATGTAACTGGATTGAATATTTTTGTTGTTAGATATCTTAAACATTTCTATCAGAACTACATCTACTCCTTATCAGCAGGTTTTCTTCACTTAGATTCCTTTAAATTTAAAACATATTTTTGTTCACTGCTTGGTTGATAAAGGAGATTTGCTTGATCACTATTTTATAAGCTAACAACGCGTTCAATCAAGTGATTGAAAAAATAAAGGAAAATCGTTTCAAAATGAGGCTGCTGTTCATTGGGTTTTCTTTGCTTTTTCTCATTGGATCTACCTTTGCAATGGATGATACATTAAGAAATGTACTACAGGAGTTACATAGGTTGAAAAAGACTGTTGCTGAACAAGGGCAGATAATAGATTCAGTGACAGGTCAATTACAGAAACAGCAAAAGGAAAGTGTGCTGTTAAAAGCCGAGCTTAGTGCAGTAAAGGAAAAGTTAAACTGGCAACAGAATGAGATTCCAAAAACAATGCAAGGAACCAAACATGATGGTAAAATCTTGAAGGAAACAAGCCAGGTTCACAAATTTGTATTAAGCCTAACAAAGAATAAAAATTTAAGGACAAATAAATGGATTTTTGAATATTTGATATTTTTTTTTTTTACATTTTAAAAGCTTAAAACCCTGTGTCTTAATTTAAAATCTTATACTAGTATCTTTAATACTCATTCCACTAATAAAGAGAAAAAGTTATACAGGACCTAAATTGTCATTTATATAATTTATTTTCAGAATGCAACAAAAGCAGCAAAAATTGTTCTAAGAAGTGAAAATAGACTTTCAGGGCAATTGTTGCATCTTAGAACAAAACGATCAGGTAAGTAAAGGGAATTTCATGAAAATGCTTACTGTGCAAAAAAAAAAAATTAAATGAATCAAACTTCATGTATTTCTAATGAAATAAGATTTCACAGGATTTCCACACTTCACATTACAGTGTAATATTCATTGTGACAAGACAAATCATTATTTATGACCCTTTGTCCCAAACCTTTGAGTTTAATCCACTTTGAAAAAACTTAAACCTTGGACATAATTTTGATCAGTTAGTACCAGAGCCTTCATAATTCACAGGTGTATTCCAAGTAACAAGGCCTTCCTTGGATAACAACAATATTGATCTTTGACCTTGACATTGGCGTTAAGCCTTCTCATAGACATAAAGTGGATTTAAGGAATAACTGTCTTATTTTTCGAATTCATGAAGTGATCAATGGATTGGCTTGTGTGATAATTTGCATAAACGCCGAAGGCGTTTATGCATAAAATTATCACACAAGCCAATCCATTGATCATCTTCATGAATTCGAAAAATCTGACAGTTATTCCTTATATTTACATGCTTTGATTCCGCCAATCCACGGGCTCCAAGCCTGCTTCTCTCTAGGTGTTGTCCCGCCCTGCACGTGGTTTTTTTTTTGGAACCGCGCCAAAACATTCATGAGGAAATCAATTACATTTACAATTGGTAATTTTATCTCGGACGAAGACATTGGAAATGTAAATATTTAGGTCTATGACCTTCTTTAGCAAAAAACTTGGGCATAACAGTTTGTTATAAATTAAAGCTCTCTTGGAACCTTTTAGATTGACCTTTCGATCTTGACCTTGGAGTTTGACCCACATTTAAAATAAACATTGACATTTACATTAAGGTTTTAAAGTTTGGTGCTTGTGCTGTCATATTTGGCAATTATATTTATTGAGACAAGTCCTTTCTTTGGATAACAGCATTTTTCATCCCTTGACCATAAGAGTTTGGCTTGCATGAGAATCTTCAACCTTTTCCAAAAGCTGTCATTTTGGGACATCAGTGTTTCACAAACACATATCTTTTCTTTTTCTTTTTTTTTTACCATTAGCATGGTCAAATATCATAACAAAGCAGTGCATTTCTGTAAGAAGTGTTAATTGATTTCTTTTTTGTTACCTTTAGTTTCTCCTTCACTCGAAATTGGATTTACGGCAACCAGACAAAGTGGTCATCCTGTTCATGAAAATGGAATTATTGTTTTTGATGCGGTCACAACTAACATAGGTTTCGCCTATAACCCAACGACCGGGCTCTTTAAGGCACCATCTGATGGACTTTACGTCTTCTTTTTCAACATCGAATGCGCGAAAGATAACGGTGATACTGAAGCAGAACTTGTGAGAGATGGGGCTCGCTTAGGAATGCAGACATACTGTCACGGACTGGGGAACAAGGATAACAGTGGTACATTAGGGGTACTTCATCTGCACTTCGGTGACACTATCTGGGTTAAATTATACGGTGGTGACAACAGAGTTTTTGGAGCAAAGACACTTTTTTCTGGATTTTTAGTAAAACAGAACTTGTTTAAATTCATGATTACTTTAGTAAATGTGTACATTTAATATGTACATCAAAAGAATCATGACCACTTAAAGTTTTTAAACTGAAAATAATGGTTTTAATTGAAAAAAAACGATAAGCAGTTTGCTCAAACAAAACTTATCGGGAGGTCTGAGCCCCACTGAAACAATATTTTGTTGTTAATAGTGAGCCAAACTTTCCTCTGAAGCGAATGCAAGGAGACCCTTCAATGCATATCCAGGAGTTCTGATAATGGAGACGCTTTCAAATCATATACCGGGTATTTGAATTGGTTCTAATTTAGAGATATATAGGCCTATTGGTGCCCTTGTTGCTGTCAATAAAACCCTATACAAGAACACCGCAATCTAAACTGTACGATAAAGAACTTTAGTTATCTCTGTTGTCATTCTTGTAGCTATTTGAAAAATAATATAAGAATACTCCTCCTGCAGCGTTGACTTCTATGGCAACAAAATTTTCAAACAAAATTAAGACTTCAGGATGTCCAATTCTGTAATAAAGAAATTGTGTGGAGTCTTCATCGTACGTAGTTGCAACATCAACACGTGTAAACACAAACCAGTAGAGCTACAATCTCACTAGAGACTTCTGATTTTAAATTAATTCTAGGAATAAACAGTAATATGCATTATTGTAGAAAAATTAGAATATTGTAAGATTATTAGGAGTAATTTTTATATATAGTGTACTATGTATATTGATGTCCGAAAATTTGTTTCAATTTTCAGTTTGCCATCGTAAAATAATTTAAATATAAAATAGTTTTAATTCCTGAAGTGTGTGGCAATGTACCAAAACCATTAATATTCTCAATGGAAGTCAAAAGAAGGCAAGTTGCAATTGGTTCCGAATTAAAATTTTCAAGCATTTTTACTTTTAAGGTGTAACAAGACAAGTGATTATCCAACTTATTGCTTTTTTAGCGCTTAGATTATATTTACAGTAATGAAACATGCTAATAACAAAATGCCAGGAACAGACTTAAACTTGGATTTTAACTTGGAATTCGTGATCGAAGGTTTAAATCCGAGTCATAGAGTAAGAAGTTGAACCTTACGTTACAGGTTCAAATCCATTACGGGATACTGTTTGTGAACTTTTCACATTTTTTTTTATTTCTTTTCCAGAACAACTGGGTCAATTTATAGCAAACTTGCCACAAAGCATCTTTTGGGCAAATGGGAAAAATGGATTCAAGTTTGTATAAATTAAGGGCCACACATACTTGTAAATAAGAAATAGGGAAAAAATGGCAGCATCTTCTAAAAATCTTTCTTAATATGACATTCTGGACCAAAAAAGTTTGAATTTAAGTGAAACCTTCATTCAATAGTGTAGATACAAATTTTCTCAATCATGATCCTTGAGAATGGGTGGGGCCAGAATGAGGACCAAAGTTTCCCATAGGATTTTAGAAAGCTTCTGAGGAACAGCAAAACATAATTAGTTATGTTTTTATGGAAGCATCCTCAGGTGGTTTACAGATTGTTTAAATCTTGATTCCCTGGGTAGGATGGAGCAACAATGAGAAACAAACTTTTAAAGGGGAATGAGAATGTATAGTTAAAAATTCTCAGGAACTGCAAAACCATGTTTAAGGTAATATCTTAAGGAAGCATCCTAAGGTAGGTTTTTTCCAAATCATGGCCCTCAGGGGTAGGATGGGACCACAATGGGGGACAAAAGTTTTACATAGGTATATTTAAAAAAAAAACTAAATTGAAAAACAGAAAAGCCATTAATATAAGTCACATTGATATGAAATCATCCTTAATTAATTTGTTTTAATCAAGACTCCTAGGGGTAGGTTGATATTGTAATAGAAAAAATACTGCTGGTGAAGAACAGCAGAGCAATATTGACAGGTTTGTGTTGTGGCCCATGGGCCTTTTTGTATGTAACTGGATTAAATATTTTTGTTGTTAGATTTTTTAAACATTTCTATCAGAACTACCACATCTTCTCCCTATCAGCAAGTTTTCTTCACTTAGATTCCTTTGAATTTAGAACGAATTTTTTGTTCACTGCATGCTTGGTAGATAAAGGAGATTTGCTTGATCACTATTTTATAAGCTAACAACGTGTTTGTTTAATCAAGTGATTGAAAAATAAAGGAAAACTTTTTCAAAATGAGGCTGTTACATGTAATTGGGTTTTCTTTGCTTTTTATCATTGGATCTACCTTTGCAATGGATGATACATTAAGAAATGTACTACAGGAGTTACAAAGTTTGAAAAAGACAGTTGCTGAACAAGGGCAGATAATTCAGTCTCTGCAGACGACCTTAGATTCAGTGACGGAACAATTAGAAAAACAGCAAAAAGAAAATGAACTATTAAAAGTCGAGCTGAGTGCAGTAAAAGAGAAGATAAACTGGCAACAGAATGAGATTTCAAAAACAAATCAAGGAACCACCCATGATGCTAAAATCTTGAAGGCAACAAACCAGGTTCGCCAATTTGTATCTACCCCCACGAAGAATAAAAATTCAAAGACAAATAAATTAAGGATTTTTGAAAAATTATTTTTTTTTCACATGTTAAAGCCTAAAGCCTTATGTCTTGAAACCTTATACCTTTAATGTCCATTCCATAAATTAAGTGGAATTTTAGTTTTACGGGACCTAAATTGACATTGATATATATGGATTTCATTTTCAGAATGAAACACGTGCTGCACAAAAAATTTTCAGGGAGAAAAGACTTTCAGGGCAATTGATGCATCTTAGAAGGAAACGATTAAGTAAGTGAAGGGATTTTAATGAAAATGCTTCCTGTGCAAAGAAAAAAATCATAAAATGAATCAAACTATTTTTACTCAAATAATAATACACACAGGGCTTCCATACTTGAAATGAATATTCATTGTGACAAGACAAATAAGCATTTATGACCTTTTAAGTGCCTAATCTTTGATGAGTTTAGTCCACATTTTACAAACTTAAGGTAGGACAAAATAGATAGGCCAAATTTTTCCTCAAATTCAACTTTTCTGAGACTTTGATATTTTGTTCTAGGATACAAAATTTGTCTTTTTGAAAGATATATGAAAGAAATTCAACCACACATTTTTTGCCCACATAGTTTGAAATATTGCCTATCAGACCCCTGTAAGAAAATTGTAAAATCAGACATTCGACTTGAGAATGAGCCGTATTTTAAAATTATCAATTGATCTGTAGCGTTATGGTCAAAGACAAATATATAAAGCTACAGCTCTGCAGCTAATTTATTGAGACAAGTCATTTCTTTGGATAACAGCATTTTTCATCTCTTGACCTTAGGGTTTGACTTGCATATGAGAATCTTCAACCTTCGCCAAAAGCTGTCATATTGGGGCATTGGTGTTTCAGAAACACAGATCTTTTCTTTTTTTTTCTTTTTTAGCCATGCACATTGTCGAATATCATAACAAAGATATACATGTATGCAATTCTGTAGGAAGTCTTAATTAATTTCTTTTTTTTACCTTTAGTTTCTCCGTCACTCGAAATCGGATTTACAGCAGCCAGACATAGTGGTCATACTGTTCATCAACATGGAATTATCGTTTTTGATACGATCATAACTAACATAGGTTCCGCCTATAACCCAACGACTGGACTCTTCAAGGCACCAGTTGAGGGACTTTACGTCTTCTTTTTTGACATTGAATGTGCGAAAGACAACGGTGATACTTACGCAGAGCTTGTGAGAGATGGGGCTGGTTTAGGAATTCAGACATACTGCCATGGCTTGGGAGATTTTGATAACAGTGGTACATTAGGGGTACTTCATCTGCACTTCGATGACACTATCTGGGTTAAATTATACGATGGTGAAAATAGAATTTTTGTAGCAAAGACACTTTTTACTGGATTTTTAGTAAAATAGAAGTCCAAAATCATGATTAAATGTGTACATTTAATACGTACATCTAAAGAATCATGACCACTTAAATGTTTCTAAACTGAAAATACTGGTTGTAATTGAAAAAATAGACCAATAAATTTTATTTCTACAATTATTGAGTGATGGGTATCATATTTATTAATTTTTTAACCAAAGCAGGCTACTAACAGATAAGTGGATGTACAGTTATCAGGGATTTTTAAACCTTGAAAAGGAGGGCTACTGACAGATAAGTCTGATGTACATGTGTAACTGAAGGAAATTTAATGAAACCAGAATCCTTATTACATCGTGCCATTGTGCACCACTTTTTGATCTGACATATTGATTTTCCAGAGTAAAACACAACTGCCATTATATTCATATGGGAGGCGGGTGTATCATTTAGTGAGCTCATTGCTCACTGTACCTCTAGTTTTTAAAGTCACCATTTCGTAAACAATTGCTCTAGATTGTATCCAAATGATATGAAAACCTTTTCGATAAGGTATAGTATCGGGATTTCCAAATTCGAATATACATTGGAGGGACCTTTAATTTGGCATTGCTTCGGAAGAAAGTTGATTTTTTTTTAAATTGGTCCCATTTTTGCATAACATATATTCCACACTTTTCATTTAGTTATTGCATCATAATGAGAAGCTTGAGCTGAACTCAATGTTGAAAAGACGCCAGAACTTTTATTCTGCGAGTTTCCTCCAACAAAACTATAATCGGGGCGCCCAAGACCTACTGAAACAATGTTTTGTTGTGTTGTTAAAAGTGAGCCAAACTTTCCTCTGAAGCAAATGCAAGAAGTCCTTTCAATGTACATGTTGTATATCCAGGAGTGTCAATAAGGAAATGCTTTCAAATGCTTTCAAATCATACATTTGAATTGGTAATAATTTTGAGATATAGGCTTATTGTATCCCTTGTTACTGTCAATAAAACCCTAAAAAAGAACACCGCAATCTGAACTGTACAATAAAGAACTTTAGTTATCTGTGTTGTCGCTCTTGTAGATATTTAAAATATATACCGGTAGGCCTTTATATATTAAGAATACTCCTCCTGCAGCTTTGTCTTTTATGACAAACAAATTTTGAACAAAATTAAAAGACTTCGGGATGTCCAATTCTGTAATTATTGAAAACAACTAAAGAAAATGTATGGAATCTTCCTTGTAGTTCCTTCTTCAATACGTTTAAATACAAACCCAGGAGCTATAATCTCATTAGAGACTTTCAAAATGAATTTTAAGAATTTACAGTTCTATATATTATAGTAGAAAAAAAATTAGAATATTGTGGGGTTATTAGGTGTAATTTTTAAATATTGTGTATGTATATCAATGCCCTAAAATTTGTTTCAGTATTCTATTCCCTCCTCTATTTTCCTCATTTATGATTTTTTATTTTCTCTCTGTCAAATTACCATTATCAAATAATTTAAATTAATAGTTTTGATTCCTGAAATGTGTGGCAGTGTAACAAAACCATTAGTATTTTGAGTGGAGGTCAAAAGAAGGGAAGTTGGTTCCGAATTGAAATTTTTACTTTAGGTGTAGCAAGACAATTGATTACCAAACTTGTTTTTTTTGAGCGCTAAGATTATATTTACAGTAGGTGTAAAGTCAAGGGAAATGAAAATCACTTCCGATAAACTTCAATTCATTATAAATGTGTTCGCTATAAGCTTGTTTTATATTTACAGTAAAACATGTATATAATTTTTAAACAAGTGCCAATTAGGAAGAACCTTTTTGCTTGTTAATAAGCGGGGGAAATTATTTTTCGTTATATCCCTTGGAAAACAGTCAAGATCCGCGAATGATATAATCATATCCGTCTCACAATAAGCGAAAATTACATTATAAACGTGTTCGGAAGCAAATTGAAAGTTGTGTTATTGTATCAGAAAAATTTTTTTGTACCTCCAAAAAAATTGACAAGTGATAAAAGGAAATGTCTATGCACGAAAATCCTATTTCGTGGGGGGGGGGGGGGGGCGGGGGAAATTAAAAATTTTCTTCCAAACACCAACACCCAATTTTAACCTATACTATGCCTTCTGTGGAAAGTGGGGGGGGGGGGGGGGGGTGCCGAAGATATGCAATGCCTAAGTATATATCCGTCTCCTCAGCCTATGGTAAAAAATTAAAATGTAAACAATTAAAATGTAATCCGTACTTATTCCGTATTCCATAGACGTATTACAAATTGTGTTGTAACGATCGGGTTCACAATTGACCGATTGGCTGCATTTGCCGAATAAAATTTAATTTCCGCCTTTTTGTTATTGCGCTCTGGTCAAGAACGGACGAATGGGGAGCAAGCAAAAATAAATCATTAGTATCGATACCAAATGTATCATGCTGTTTTGATTTAGGTATGATCTTGTGCAATCAATTTTTTGTCGGTCAATAATTATCTATTCATTTATTTTGATCAACAATTAAAGGATATTTCTTTTTTTTTTAAATCTTGTACCAAACAGCAAATTCGATATAATTATTTGTTCACTTTTTTTTTTACTAGGTGAACAATGCTAAGGCAAATATTTACTGAGTTGTGTCGACAAAAAGCTTTCGAACATGTAATTATCAGTTTAAAAGCACTTTTGTTTCTTTTCCGAAGATCAAAGATCATTATATTGCAGAAAAAATTCTATTGACCTTTATGCCCTAAATGTTGATGGAATCCGCGCATTTTGTGGCCAGAATATCAATAAAAAATTCTCCCTATTGTGATTAAGACAACGGAGTAATATTTTGACTCATAAATGGATTGTTGGGTATCGTATGTTGATCGATTACGAATACACTGAATGGCAAGGTTTTCACATGTACACACACACAAGTGGGAAAACCGAACCGAAACACAACATTTCTATCCATATTATATCTTGGATGTGTTTTCCATAAATCGGTCGCAGATCCTGCTCAAAGAGTACCTTTTAGACTGTGTCCTTTTCCGTTAATTGGTATTTGAGTGCATTGTCTTTTTAGAGAGCAGTTACAACTCATGGAATTATGCAATTCATTGTTGCAGGTTTAGTGTATTTATCGATATGCTGACAGGAATTGATGAGATTTTCACACATCGGGTAAGGTAATGGTTTTAAGTTTTCTTTCACTTTTTCACTTAAAAAAAAAGCGTAAAATTTCATCCGAGGTAGACAAGTCATTTTTCCCAATAGAAAAACAGAAGAGAAGGTTAACACGATTATTTGGAACGTAATGTTCAGCTACACATTTTTAGCTGACAATGGGGTGATTGGTATTATTGATGGACCACGTGTTTTGTTATAGTGAACTGATGAAAGTAAATGCTTTTATGATGGTGTGTTACACGAATCCCTAATCTCTTATTCCTCATCTCTATAATTCAAGTCTTTCTACGAAATATTTTTTACCACCAAGAAGTTTGAATTTGTTTTAATATGGAGGCAGAACATTGGTGTCGTTTTTATATAAATTAATTTAGTTTTTTTTCTTCTCATTTTACTTCCAACTTATAATGAAAATTGACATTTTTTTAATAAAATAGAGAAAGTTATATAAACATCAGTGAATAAAATATTGTTTAAATTAAATTAAATCTAAAAATAAGTTAAATAAACATTTGCAACAGGTACACACAAATGCTGCTGCAAAATCTGGATGATGACTATGAAAAATTCTTGTTTTTTTTTCTGACAAACTGTTAAAATAGGATTTATTTTTATTGATACAAAATGTAAGACGGGTAGTAAGGTGAAATAGGACAATGCTCTAAAAAAGCCAGGCACAAAGAGAGAGAAAGGGGGATAATTATGTCAAGGTCGTGTTGATTATTACTCTATCCAGTCTTAATTCAATTAACTATATCATCAATGTGTGTAATTAACCTTTTGCTCTTCATCTGTTTTACAAGTGTATTTGATCGATATTGTATGTTTCTGTATCTTTTTCTGATTTGTTAACCTACTATTCAGCAATAAGCCAAAATTTTCAATTATCTAGAATCAATTGTTTCGATTTGCAATCCGAAAGGCTCTGTTTAATAATCGATATATCAGATTAAGAGGTATATAAATCATCAATCATAACACTCCCACCAGGATTATCAATTATCTTAATTTTTAAAAATATAGATTAAACCGAGAAAAAGGTATATAAATGTTCAAAAATCAGGCATATGATATCGTCATATTCATCTCTCTCTCTCTCTCTCTAAATCTTCGATTTCAACCTTTAATTATCAGGGGCTAAAGGAGAAAATAGGATATTACAGTCAAGTACATTGCAGTTTATCCATAGCCCACGCACCTGTATAGCTAACTGATAGAGACTAGAGTAGTCCGCGTGCTGAGAAAAAGAGGAAACGGAGAAACGGAAAAGCAAATTATTGTATTCTGACGGAAGCTGAATAAAATCATCAAAAACACCCTGTCTTGTTTGTGTAATAACTGTGCTTTGGTTCCTTATTGATAAACATAGGGGGAAATCATCACCAAACCCTCTCAAAGACTCTTCAATGATGAGAAAGTCTATAGTAAGAATGAGTGCTTTCCGACGATGGTCAACCAGGCAGAAATGAAACATATAAACGATTCTACGTCAAGGCGACAGGGAGAAAATTAAAGATGCTTTCTTAGTTCCTGAAGACAGAAGTGTTTATGGATATATTGACCATGTTACATGAACGCTTTTCATAATCCGTCATAGATTTGACTTTCTCTTGGAAAATGAATATCGTCCGCTTTGGATTATACTGTACATCTTTACATCAATGAAATTTTCTTTTCTCATCAGGAAAAGTCGGAATTATTGACACAAGAACTGGATACTTTTTGAAACCTGAAATCTGGACATGGCTAATGCAGTTGTGGCAGTAAAGGGTAAGTCTTTTTAAAACATTGATGTTGGGGCGCCTGTGTGTTGGGGTACACTTTAGACTTCTTGTTTCCAAGTTTTAATTGTCATGATTGTCGAACAAAATGAAAAAAAAACATTTATAATCCGATTTATTTTGATAAAATTTATCAGGACATATACCGGTATATACATACATAAGTTCATATCCTCATGTCATGTGACCTTTTGAATTTCTTTTTTTTGGGGGGGGGGGGTCCCTATTTGCGGATCGTCATGTTGCATCAAAATGTGTGGAAAGAAAGAGAGATAGAGGCCAAAGTTGGGGAAAGCAAATAAAATACAAAATGTTTAATTTTCTTTTCTGTAAATAATACCGTATGTTTCGAGTCATCGTCTCAAGCCATGGTTCTGAATCCGCTTATAGCTCTCCTCTACCCGGCCAGAATGGGAGAGGATCTTACATTTTAGTCGTGGTTTGCGACGATGGTTTCAGGTGTTATTAAGATGATACGTTATTATTATGTCAAGTATGAAGGCCCTAGTACCATCTATTAAAATTGAGTCCAATGTTTCTTTTAAAAATGAGTCAAACTCTAAGGTCAAAAGGTAAAAAGAAAATCCTTGAACACTGTAAAAAAAAACTAGTTAATGTCACGAAGAAAACTAGTAGATTCACTGTCCATACAATCACTACCTTAATAGTAGTTTTAAAATTGTATATTTACTAGATAAGATGTAAATTTAGAATTGATGAGTAATTTTCTGTTAGTATATATATGACCCCCGCTCCACAAAACTTTCAAAGTTTACTAATCACGACCAACGCTTTACGAAACACGCTATAGTTAAATTCACTAGGTTTTTCTTTTAGTGTAAAGAGTTTCACCAGAACGAATACATATCTAAAGTATGAAAGCCCTTGCACCAATTTTGCAAAAGTCATGGTCAAGGTTAAAGTTAAGTGATTGTTTTGCAAAAGTCAGGTTCCAAGGTCAAGAGGTAGACTTTGTACCCAAAGAAAGGGCGTCACAAGAAATGTACGTGGCAAGCAAAGATAAATATAATCATATACAAAGTACATGTATGTATACTTCAAAAAGAAGTTCCCTAACATTATGAATCAGAAAAAGGCAAATAATTCAATATTCGTAGACTCGGAGCAATTTCATATTTTACAAAGAATTATGGTTTCAATACATGATCGGTGTTCTTCTTGATATAAATTAATGCTATTTTCCTGGCAACCCCCCAAAGACCAATATAATCACGGAAAAATGTTACATAAGGCCATTCCAAGTTTTTTCAAAATGATGTTCCGCGTAGCTAACATTATGATATCAGAAAAAACACACAACATAACTGAAATTGATTAATTTAGTCGAAATTTTTTACTTTTGTCATTTTTAAAAATGACAGTTTGTATTTTAAGCATTTAATCCCTTGTTTTTGCTTAAGAATAGATTTCTTCTATTAAAGCAATTTAGTTAGATCAAATCATTTGAAGGGCATCATTTTTATGACTTTTAAGCATGTGTTTTAAGTTTTGGCTTGTGTGTTTTTTTGTGAAAAAAAAGGTGTTTTTTTTTTAAACAGAGAAAAAACTTGGAATGGCCTTACTTTGAAAAAAAAAAGTAATTACAAAAATGCAATAAAAGCATTTTGATGCAATATGGTCTTATATATCTTTTGTGTGGTCATGCTTAATTCGCAGTTATGGTACTAGTATAACTGCGCGACAGGTTAATCTGATCATTAATTTCCATTAATCTTAGATGAAGATGTTTGATATAAGCTGATAGACCATTCCTTTACCCTGATATGTCAAGTCGTGGGACGAGAACATGGGATAGGCTTACGTTACTAATGATTGGAATCAAATATGCAACACACATTTCCTCTCTGCGTTTCTCTATTTTATGATTTTATTTTGATCGGAATAAAAACCCTTTTATATTATTTTTAAAAAGTATACCGTTGATTTTTTTTTAAATACCGGGGTATAAAATTGCTTCAATATACGGGTACAATGTATGATCGATTATTTCCTCTCTGCGTTTCTGTTTTTTAAATTTGATTTTGAATAGAATAAAAATCTTTTTATTATTTAAAAATATATACGAGTATATACTTTTAATTTTTAATACAAAATATCTTGCTTATACGGGTTCAATGTATGATCGATTCATGATTTGGATATATATGTTTTCAGCAATGGTTCTTTAATACGTAGTATCACAGACACGGAATTATATTTCAAACATTGCTTCATTGATCAACTTCATGCATACCGCTTTTAATCAAATATTTACACATTGTTTTTAATATAATAGCCCTTCCCTTACGTGTTGACGAATTTCTCCATTAATCATAGAACATTTTTCAATACATTTAAACATTTTCAGTAATGAGTAGTGTGATTTATTTTCCTATATGCTTTCGTTGTATCTTTTATTTGCATATTGGCAGAGATGTATATATGCAGTTATCACTGTATTACATACAGTTGCAATCTGTCCTTCGATCGATACTTGGATATTTTTCTGATAATAATTCTGATCCATATCTCAGTTTTGTCTTTAGTTTCATTTTGATAGAGAGTCTTGATCATTAATTTGTATATCTTATTTTAATCAAAACTTGAAACCAGAACATATTCGAAATTCCGAGTGCTCCTTATTCATAATCCGTACTGAATGTAGCTTAGATCACCATTTCATTACATTCCGAACCTCGGCCAGGAAGGATAACTCTTTAATTTATTATTTGATGAAAAACTATCAACACGAAGCTTGCAATTCAAAAATTTCAAGCAAGATTGTCAATTTAAGTATCTTTGTATGATTCAGGTGTTTTTGGAAGTCTTAGAAAGACCCCAATGCTTATTAGCATGATGCAAATTTAGAAGTGATCCTTATTTAATACCCTCCCTCCCCTGAAAGTATAGATAATTTTGACATCGTTCTCTCCCACCTATTAAAACTACCATACCGCTATATCAAGCTCGCCTGAGCCACGTATAGGAGATTTTCCTTTTGACTCAGGACTGTGTTGGTTGGGGTGGTTGGGGTGGTCGTGGAATCAGGTGCTAAATTATTAGACAACGAAGTTATAACTATTTTTATTATTAAAACCAGAATATACTCATCGGAATATTCCATTCAAAAGATCCTTAACCTTGAAGATCTGAGTTAATCAAGCGACTTCGTTAGCCCCAGTTGTCGAAATACTTGGAAAAAAATGCAGCTTACATAACAGGGTGATATAATAATCAAGTTGCGTAAGTAAAATGCTGTTTTAGTGAGTCGTAAATCACATTTAACATCGATCGATGCTCCTGTGGGAAAAATGGGGAAAAAGGTTTTCATTGATGTAGGAGCTAGCAGATTATTTCTGTGTACTTACAATGTACTTTCATTGTTTAAATAGCCCTCCGATTCTACTTTTCCTTGAACTCAATTTAAGGAACATACGCAACGTACCTTACGGTACCTACTGATAAATTTTCAAGATATTCTAAATTTAAAACATAGCACCATTACATTACATGCTCTTGGGCAAAAAAAAAAAAAAAAAAAAAAAAAATCAGCATGCGTTACCAGGGGGTTTTGAACGTATTTGAAATGCATGATGAAAATTCTTGCATTATTCAAAGAAAAATATACAAAAATTATTAAATATAAATTTCCATAGTTTCACCCAAATTTGTTTTAAAAGAGCTGGTGTACAAAGCCATATATATAGACATTAAAATTGTATTGTACACAGGTCTTTCATTTAGTGGAACTCTTCAACTCCAGGGAAGAAGCCTATAAAGTTCGAATTACGTTGCGTATACGCCCTTAATTGTGTTTCCCGACAGGTATATATATTTTAACTAATGACTCCCCGTGTTTTATGTCTTAACCTTCGTAATTGGTGACGAGACAAATTTCCGTTTAATCCCGTCGAATCTTCCATATTGAACAAATGAGAAAATTCAGAGTTATTTGCCAGACAATTACAGCAGCGATTATATTTACTCTAAATAAGATGTAATGAGCCTTATTTAATCCATTCATCTGGTGATCTCGAGTGAACGATTGTGGGAATTGAAGGAAGAGGCTATTTGCACGAAAACCATCTGCAAACACAGAACATTTGCATTACGTCTTTGGCAGTTTTCTATAATTGGGATTAGAAATCTACAAATAGTGTGCAGTATTATTTCGTATTTTTGGAAAGATTTGGGGAGGACAGATCTAGTGTTCCATATTCTGCATATAGTTGCTTAGAAAAGAAAAATGTTTAAAAAGTGAATCAAAACAGAAACAAACAAGGAAAAAACTATTAAAGCAGCAATAAAACATTTAAGAAAGTGTTAAATGTTAACTTGTATTAATATACCACATATAATTGTAGCATAATGCTTATCATTATTTTCTTTCTTTTTTTAATACGTTTTTAAAGACTACACACAAAGATATTGATTGATTGATTGATTGTATGTTGATTAACGTCCCTCTCAAGAACTTTTTCACTTATATGGAGACGCCACCACTTGCCGGTGGAGAGCTACAAATTTTGTCCTATACTAGGCACTTAGGGCCATTGAACAGTGAGGGACCTTTTTCGTGCCAGCACCTACTTCGACACAGGACCTCGGTTTATACGGTCTTATCCGAAGGACCGTTCTCCACGTCCCACAGTGGGATCCGAACCCGCGATGTAAGGATTGACTCCTTTCTTCAGACGTTCTAACCAATGCGCCACGCGGGCGACCAAAGATA